TAAAAAAGGGATAACTCTTTTGGTATATCCTCCTTCAAATATGTTTTTCTGAGAAGCTTATGCCCATGGTAATTCCAGGCAGCTCTACCAATATTTCCTCTCCTCCACTCTCTCCCTGAAGTCAGGATTATCTGAGCTTGTCCTCAGTACTTTTTGCAATGTTCTGCAAAGATATTCCTGAATGCCCATGAAAAAGGTGAGCCCAATGAGAATGCATATCATTTGGCCTTCTCTAGAACCAATTGGATACTGAAACACATTTTTTTAAAGTCATGATGTCTATTTATTCTCCACACATTACTCTTCTCACCATGGCTAGCACTCAAGAGTTAGGGCCATTTGCCAAGTGTGGCTGGTGGAGACCCTTCTTTCTACGAGTTTCCTATAACACAGAGCACTAGGTCAATCTTTCAGACCACCATGGAGCCTCCAACACTGCTGTCAGTACAGGAGAACTCAGCAGAACTTCCCCAAACCTCCTTCCCAAGCAGAGGAGGCAGGGATGTCCATAGGGCCTTGCATTTGGGGAAGAGACATCACTAATTAAGTTGTGAGCTAAGAGCATACGTGATTCATGAGAGTAAGTTCCATACCTTTATTTACTATATTTCCAGCTTATAATTGGCACAAAATAGATGTTCAATAACTTTATTGGATGAGTGAATAAAGAAGAACTAAAATCATGAGACTACTTATGGCCCTGAAAGGAGTAGTTATGCTTCTCTTTTACTATTAATGGCTGGCAAAATAAGTGATTTTATATTATTCTGCAGCTTTTGTTGCCTCGGTATACCACATTATCAATCTCAACTGAGATTCTGTATAATTTAAAAAAGCAATTGGCAATCCTATCATTGTCTCTCTCATACCTTTGTTATCACTTCTGGGAGGGTCTTCAAATATTCTCCTCATTAGTCAGGTGGAGATATCTATGTAAATGTCTTTAATAATTATCTAAAATTCAAATATAAGTTGGAGCTTCATGTGGTCTCATCCTTACAAGATACCCCAATTAAGAAATACAAAATTTCCTACTATATTAGGCTACTCTACCAAGCCTGGGAGACATCGCAGCTCTACCTAATACATAGAAACAAATATAGAGAGGCTGCCAAAATGAGGAGACAAAGAAACAGGTTACAAATGAAAGAATAGAACAAAACTCCAGAAAAGAATTAAACAAAATGGAGACAAGCAATCTACTTGATGCAGAGTTCAAAACACTGGTTATAAGGATGCTCAATGAACTTAGTGAGAACTTCAACAGCATGAAAAAATGCCATTCAGAAATAAAGGATACTCTAACTGAAATAAAGAATAATTTACAGGACATCAACAGTAGAGTAGATGAAGCCAAGAATCAAATCAGCTATTTATAATATAAGGAAGCAATAAACACCCAATTAGAACAGCAAAAAGAAAAAAGAATCCAAAAAAATGAGGATAGTGTAAGCAGCCTCTGAGACAACTTCAAGAAAACCAACATTTGCATCATATGGATTCTAGAATAAAAAGAGAGAGAGCAAAAAATTGAAAACCTATTTGAAAAAATGACAGAAAAGTTTCCTAACTTGATGAAGGAAGCAGGCATTCAAGTCCAGAAAGCACAGAGAGTCCCAAACAAGTTGAACCCAAAGAAACCCATACCAACACATATTGTAATTAAAATGCAAAAGATTGAAAACAGAGAATCTTAAAAGCAGCAAAAGAAAAGCATTTAGTTACCTACAAGGAAGCTCCCATAAGACAGTGAGTTGATTTCTCAATAGAAACTTTGAAGCCAGAAGGGATTGGCAAGAAATATTCAATGTTATGAAAATCAAGGATGTACAAGCAAAATTACTCTACCCAGCAAAGCTATCATTTAGAATTGAAGGCCAGATAAATAGCTTCCCAGACAAGAAAAATGTAAGAGAGTTCATTATCATTAGATCAGCATTATATTAAATTTAGAGTCTTCTTTAAGAAGAAGAAAAAAGATTAAAAATATAAACAATAAAATGGCAATAAATACATATCTATCAACAATTGACTCTAAAAAAAAAACAAAATAAAAAGCAGAACAGAAATAAACTAATATATACAGAGAACATTTTGACAGTTGCTAAATGGGAGGGGCTTTGGAGGGATTGGTGAAAGGATTAAGAAGTACAAATTGGTTGTTACAGAATAGTCATGGGGATATTAAGTCAGAATTGGGAATATAGTCAAGAATATTGTAATAACTATGTATAGTGTCATATGGGTGCAGAATTTATCTGGATGATCACTTAGTAAGTTATGTAATGTCTAATCACTGGGATGTACACCTAAAACTAATATAACAAATGTATGTCAACTACAATTGAAAAATGTTTAAATGATTTTTAAAAAAGAAAATACAAACTAGCAGCAAACATTAAGTAAAAACAATGTCAATATTTTCTGTCAATTCTCAAATACTGTCTAACTACCTCCAAAAATCCTATTTATAACCAAAGCAACTTTTTATTGGTCTTTTTCTATTTCTCAATTTTAATCTGTCTCACATCGTATAGCTAGCTGCCTCAAAGTTTTTCTCTCTACAACTCAATCTCCACCCAAAACTCTCCCATTCAGCAAAGCTAATATACAAGGCCCTACTGATTTCTTCCCCTCCACCTTTTTTCTACTTCCTTTTTTTTTCTCTTCATAAAGGCATAACTGCATCTGCCACTCACAAAATGGTTTTTGAAATGGGGAATATTAAGGAAGGAGAGAAAAATAAAGGCTCTGGATTCTCACATATATTATTTTTTATGAACCAGATATAAGTTGGGATTTAGCATAGAAGAACTAAGGAACAGATGGAAAACAGTGGAAAGAAAAGAAGAGTGACTGGTAAGAGACATCTTCCAACAGAAAGTGTTAGCTTTACTAAGAACAAGATGATACAGAGAAATGCTTAAAAGTTTAGGAAGCAGTGATTTAAAATGACTTATAAAAAGGCAAAGTTTACATTGGAGAGAGAAGTGTAAGACTTTCAAGTTTGGATTCACGGAGTATAAATAAACTGAGAGTATAAGACTGAGAGAGCCCAGTTATCATTTGAACTTGGGAGTACAGGAGACATCTGAAATCTGGCTAGAATAGACATCACAAAGTACATGTTTGTACCTGGAAAAAAGGGAATTCTCTTTAATTCCAAAAATGGGGGTAGGGGAGGGGAGTAGCCTACTCATTTTAGGGGTGCAACATTAGAACTAAACTTGTTTCATATTATGTTAATTGGGAATAACTGATTGAATGCATATAAAATGCTATTTGAGCAAGCCTTGGCTAGCTTGTTTCCCCAAAACCATGCAAAGCAGTAAAATGACGTTTGCCCTCTATTTATTGACAATATAGTGATTTGATTACCTATCTTTAAAAAGCAAGTGTATGATTTAAAGAGAGGAACAACCACCAGTCTTGTGAATAGAAGTCATGATGACTGAATTTATCAGTAATTAACATACTTTGTCTTCCTTTTGAGGTCTTCTTTAAGACTTTATCACAAAGAATACATCTCAGCATGAAACTATCTGAAAGGAATACCTGAATTTTATTGGTCCTTCCAAATTCACTTCAGATTGCAAATGAATTATTTCCTTTAACGGGGAATCCTTTAGTGTCTATGAAAGTTTTCAGAGGGTGGAGGCTGGCAGGAAAAGTCTATCCCAATAAGACAAGAAGAATGAGGTTCCACCTAGTTGTCCATCACTGCTCCTTGAAATAAATACTCACTGATAAGTATACCCACCCACTCTCAGCCCAGCCCTTTTGCTGTTCCAGTCGGAGTCAGAGGTCCTGAAGCTTTAGCTCTTCTGTAATCTGCTACTCTGTGACTCAAGTCTATTTGTGGGCTAAGAAGATTTTGGGGTACCCAGGCAACGGAGACACATCTGATAGAAATAAGAAAGAAAGAAAAATAAAGCTCAGTCTAGAGGATTGCTTAAAACCAAATTGCAATCCTCATCCTGTAAGAAAAGAAACAGCACTTCTGTTATTAAAGCTGCAGCAGAAATGTGAGTTTGTGAAAATCTGTGTTTGAGGATGCATGACAGCTGTAGAGCAAAGTGAAGAGTACATAGCTATTACTTACCTCCTTAGGGACTTGTCTTGTTTGTCAGTAGATTCCCCCATAGCCCTAGCACAGTAGCTAGCTAGCATCTCATCCGTCACTCACTAAAAGCATACTGAATTTGTTAATTGTCAGGACAATGCCTTCAGAAAGTGAGAGGTGGGTGCCCTCTTACCCTGGCTGCACTCTAGATGAGCGATATCCGGCCTGAGAGGGCACTCGGGCACAGGTTTAGACTCAAGTCACAAAACTGGATAAGCAAGTTATAGCGGAGTCAACTGAGGAAACAGAACTCACTCACAGGGTCACTGAACATCTCTGTCCTACTGAGCACTCGAAAAATGCAAAAGGTGTGCATCATCAGGCAAACGATCGTTTGGTCCAGACGATAGTTCAGCCTTACTGGAAACATAACTTACCGGTGTTTCTATCTTTCTCTCCCTCTCCCTGCCTCTCTTTGTAAAAATCAATAAAAAATCATAACTCCAAATTAAATCGGCATAAAAATGAAGTCCTTTCTTCCCAGAACCACTCAGCCACCTATTAGGGGAACGAGCAGAACACTATGGCACTGTTTGGGGACCAAACCTGAAAGGCCCACAGTCAGGGCCAGGAGGGTAGATCAGAGAAGAAATTAGGAAGGCAAACACGTGTTTGTGGCAACTCCCTTCTCGGTGGACCGTTGCCCAGATCTGGCCCCAAACCTAGGGCGGCCCCAGCTTCTGTACCAGCGCAGCCTCCTGCCATAGCACAGTCACATCCAGGAACGAGGGAAAACTGCCCACCCAGAGAAGATAGTATCTGGAAGGAATGAATATTTGGGAAAAGTCCCAGTGCTACTTTAGTGCCAGCCAGTCCCCACCTTCTTCGGCCCCCACCCACTGGTTCCTCCCCTTTCAGCTGCTCAAGTTCTTATAAAAACCCCACACAGCCTTTCCTGAACAGCCTGTAGGAGCCTCTTCCACACCGTGCAGCACAGACAGTGAGGCCAACCACAGGACCACGGAGAGACCATGAAGAGCCTGCTCCTTCTCTCTGTTCTGGCAGCCCTGGCCGTGGCAGCTTTGTGTTACGGTGAGAAATCTTTCTCCTGCCATTTCTCTGGACTTTCTTGTCTGTGTCTGACTTCAGGTTACTTCGACTTTTCCTCTCCCTCCTCCTCTTCTTGCCCCTTTCTCTGTTATAATCTTCAACTATGAACTTAACATATCTCAAGTTCCAAGCCCACGTCTCTTCCATCCAGTCTTTTTTATATCCTAAATACCCAGACTATATGCTATTTATCAGGTCATCACTTTCGATGGTCAGTCACTGTATACCTGGAAACTTGGCTATTTCAGAAAAAAAGATATAAATTCCCAGCCCTGGAGTCTCATCTTTAAGGATGTTTATTTAGGCTTTGGTAACAATTGGTTACGGATATTGGTCAAACCACTTACCTTTTAAAACATCAGTTTTCACATGATGTGTTAGGTACAGACCTCTCTAAAGACTGAGCAATCTCATGAATTTACTACATGTGTTTGGTGAATTCACTAAAAAACTAAGTTTTACACTTAAAAGATCTCAGGGAAAAATAGATGTCATCATTTCAATTGTCAAAAGATAAAATTTGCTTGGTTGCTGTATGTTGTTAAATATATGTGCCTGTTCAAAGCTTATGAAAGGAAATCTGAAGCAAAAGTATTTAGATTATTCAGTCTTATGCTTCAGTAATAGGGATATTTGAACTGTTCTTAAACCTAAATTATATTAACAACCATGTGTGGCGTTTTCATTGTTGTTGTTTTTTACTTCTGTCTCTTGAAATGATTCATAAGTTCTCTGTGTCAGAGGATTTGATTTCTTTACCTCATCTTGAACTTTTCAAGCAAATTCACTTGCTTACACATCTAAGACTCTTATTGCCAAGTTTCCCTGCTGGGGAGGTAGAAAGAGGGAGAGTGTTAGAGAGAAGAAAGCTTCTGCTTTGACATCATCTCAATTCTTTCTCTGAACTGGCATTGTGCCCAGTGGCAGCTGGGAGCTGGAGTCAGTGGTTTCTGTGGCTGCCAATGGAACACAGGTTCTTAAGAGGCCTTTGGAACCTCCCAGCAGCCGGTCTTGGTGAAGCCCCGCAAAGCATCTGCCCAGCCGCCTGGAGAAACCTAGTGTCTTCCAGGCCCGTCTGTCCCTTCCTCAATCTTTCTCTCACGTCCCAGATTAATCAGAGAAGACAGCTCTCTGGAACTTGTGAAAAGCACTTAAATTGTCTTAATTCACTGGGGTGAGAACCTCAGAGCCTGGGGGAAATTTTAGCCAAGACTGTATTCACCAGCTTCTTCAACATCAGAGAAACTGAAGTGTAGACATATGCACAGCAAGGACATAGCTAGAGAAACAATCCTCAAGTCAGAAATGCCTGAAATGTGTAGTAACTATACTGTTAACTATATTCTTCACATCTTTTTGACTTTCTTCTTCTTCCTTCACTATGTTTAGACTATTTCAATGTGTGGTAAATAATAATAAAATGAATCTTCCTTTTTTTTTAATTCCAGAATCTCATGAAAGCATGGAATCCTACGAAATCAGTAAGTGAATATTTGACTTCCTTATTTAAACTTCATGTATTCTAGAATCTCTCCCTGTTCCTAATCACCCAAAATGGTAATACGTACCACAGGGAGGAAAAAGAGGGCCTCTTTAGGAAAAACTGAAGTAACATTTTAAATTCAATGACTATAAAAATCGCCAAATGAGCAATTTTTTAAAGCTTGAAGCAGTATAATATTGCCTTTAAACTGCACTCAACCAACTTAGGAGCCATAAAACCTCATTTGGAAATTTTATGTTGGCACCAGGTCAACCACAGAGACGGAAAACAAGGAGTAATGACAAATGGCAAAGTACAGAATTGGAGGCCATGTCAGCTGGGAGACCACAGATGTCAACATTGCTTAAATGCCACTGAATTTCTAGACTTATAAAGCCTGAGTATAAGAGGAAGTAACATATCACTCTCATTTGCAATGTGTCCACTATTTCTATCATGATTAAATTTTCACTTACTAGTAACCTAAAGACACGCTTTACAAGTCATCATCACAGAGAGAATTTCTCCTCAAAGGAATGTTAAAAACCCACTGAAATAGGCATACCAAAATTGAAGAAAAATAAGTTATTGCTCAAGATCAAAAACCAGCAAAATTTCAGTGGCCAATGTGACAAGTCTCAAGACACATCTATGGGTAATTACTTTCTTTGGATCAGGCAGGTTATGAAATATGCTTATCTTCCCCTCTAATTGTTGCATATCTCTAGTTACAGGAAATGCATGAGTTATTGAGCTCCCAAGCATATTTGTGTTAGCGATTACTCATGGAAATATTTTCAGCTACTGTTTCCCTAAAACTGCATTGTTTACTTCTGTTTTGAGGTCCCTTCATTAACAGGAGATATGCTAATACCTTCATATCCTCGCAGCAGAGATGGAGAGCTAAAGCTCAAGAGAGGTGGGTAACAAAACTTGATGGGGAAGTCATTTTTCCCAGTGTAGAAGCCCAGATCAGAATGGAGTGAGAAACAGGTTTCTTTACAAAATAAATATTATTTCTAATTGTATCCTCAAATCAAAGAATTTTAAAACAATATGCAGAAAACAACTGAATTCCTAGACTATTTTGTGAACGACTCAGAAAGAAGAGGAAGAGAGGATGAAAAAGAGGACAAAGAAAAGTTCTATTTTCACTTAAAAATATATTCCCCCTAAGAGAAAAAGAAAAATGCCCCCTGTTCCACCTCTCCTTTCTATTCTTCAAATATCTTTTTTTAAAATATATTTTTTATTAATTCAGAGAGGAAGGGAAATGGGGAGAAAGATAGAAACATCAATGAGAGAGAATCATTGATCAGCTGCCTCCTGCACGCCCCCTACTGGGGATCAAGCCTGCAACCCAGGCATATGCCCTGACCAGGAATCCTAACCTCCTGGTTCAGGGGCCAACCGTGCAACCACTGAGCCGCATGGACGAATCAAAAGTCGCTTGATATAGGGTTGTGATAAATGGGATCTCTCTCCAATATTTTCTGATATTCTTTTCTCCTTTTGCTTATTTCTCCGTTCCCTTTATACTTCTCAATCTGGGCTTTTTTCCCACTTAGGATCCGAGAACGCACCAAGCCTGCCTACGAGATCAACCGGGAAGCCTGTGACGACCACAAACTTTGCGAGCGCTACGCCATGATTTATGGATACAATGCAGCCTACAATCGCTATGCCCGGCAGCTCAGAGGGCGCAAATGAGATCAGAAAAAGTAGTGTTCTCTCCAGTGCCTGGCGCCTGGTTTTGTACTCCCTTGCAGTAGCAGCACTGAATCATATACATATATGCGAATTGCTTGTTTCTTAAATGTTCTCATCTGGTCGCACCCTTCCTCCCTGCTCCCAGATTGATACTTAATGAAAGCACAGTGTAGTGAAGGTGGGAGAGGAGTTGCGATGTGTGATTATTAATATAATAAAGTTCTGGTTGGATACTTCCATTTTGTGAGTCTGATTTCTGCTGAGAAAATGCTGAGATGTATAAATCAGGGCCCAACTAGCCCAGCATAGACGATTCTGTTCCTCACGTTCTAGCATTAATTAGCTCAACTGCATAGAAAGAATGCACCTTAGAAGACATTCACTCAGCCATCATATGTCTACTAGGCTCTCTCTATCAGGGGGGTGGGGTGGGGGGGTCAGTGAATGATTGCTTCCTATTAGGTATTTTCAAGGATTTTCAAACATCATAGGAGATTAATCATATCATTTTCCTGCTTTATGACTTTAAATTGCCTCTAAATTCCTTGTGTGTGTGATTTCTGACTCTGTTTCTTAGCTCATCATCTTCACTTGAATGTTATCATTTCTTAAGATGCCACAGTTTTGACTCTTACTTGAGCCAAGAAAATATGTTTATTTTCATAATCACCAGAGATTTTAAAAAATAATATTTCTTATTTTTAAATTATAGTTGATGTATATTATATTAGTCTCAGATGTGCAACCCCATGATTAGACTTTTATGTAACTTACAAACTGATCACCCAGAAATCTCACACCCGTCTGACATCACATGTCGTTTAATTACAGTATTATTGACTTATATTCCCTAGGCCAGTGGTCGGCAAACAGCAGTTCACGAGCCACATGCGGCTCTTTGGCCCCTTGAGTGTGGCTCTTCCACAAAATACCACGTGTGGGCACGCACGTACAGTGAGATTGAAACTTCGTGGCCCATCCGCAGAAGTCAATATTTTGTGTAAGAGCCACACTCAAGGAGCCAAGGAGCCGCATGTGGCTCGCGAGCCGCAGTTTGCTGACCACTGCTAGGCTGTGCTTTACATAACCCTGACTTTTCTGTAACTACCAATTTGTATATTAGCCTTTTACTATAAACGATGCAACACTAGATTCATAGTTTTGATCTGGCAAAGAGTTCAGCAATAACCTAATTCAACTCCCTCATTTTACATTGAGAAATTTGTGAGTTTAGGGACTGAATGATGATTCTGAAGGCAGATCTTGTACTGACCTCATTAAATCTAATTTCTTAAGCCAACTTTTAAAAAGGTTTATGTACAAATGGTCTATGTATTTGTACCAACTTCCCATTGTGAATAGTTGCACTTTCCAATCTGATAAGTCAATGTTTAATGTAGTTTCCACCTTAGCCAAAATTTTAGGCTAGCCACCTGCTCAGTTCTATTAATTTTGTGATATATTCTTGTTTTTTTCAGATCTAAGACACATGAAGTGATAGGTCACAGATCTTATTTTCTTCTCCTTTTATAATCTTGATAAGGCTTTCACAGACTCTTACATCTTAGGAACCTAAAAATGTTTAATCACAAGCAGAATGCTCTGCTCCCATCTCACAAAAGGAATTTAGCATTTTAACATAGTGTTTGAGATTAAGGACTTTGGAAATAGGTCTCCCAGCAACACCACTTAGAACAGTGTCATTCTTGGGCAAGTTAATTAATCTCACTACATCTTCGTTCCCTTATCTGCAAAATAAGATGATTCTAGTACAGATCTTAGAGTAGTTGTAAACACTAAATAAATGAGTATATGTAAAGTGCACAAAACACTGTCTGGCATAGAGTAAGTGCTTAATAAATGTTAGCTATTCTCACTGTTATTTTCTATTATATTACCAATTAGAGGCCTGATGCATGAAATTCATGCAAGAGTAGGCCTTCCTTCCCCCAGCTGCCAGCATCAGCTTCCCTCTGGCACCTGGGACCCAGGCTTCCCTCTAGTCGCCGGCAGGCACCCGGCACCCGGGCTTCCCTTTGGCTGCTGGCTTCGTCCAGAAGGTCATCCAGAAGGATGTCTGGTCTAATTAGCGTATTATACTTTTTTATTATAGATATTATTGTGACATACTATATTTCTTACATTAATAAATGACAAGACATTACCTCTATGGGGATTTCCACCTTTGCCTTAAAAACAGCCAGCAGAACATATAGCTAAAAACTATTGCTAGTACTGGTCAACTTTTACTCACTCCACTCTTTCTTTCTTCTCTACCATAACACATCTGCCTATGCTGATGACGCATGCTGTTTCAGACCACCAAGCCAGGGAAGTACATTTTGATTCAAGGATAAATCATTATGCTAACTTTCACGTTTTACTGGGTTTGGATTCATGCATTCATATTTTTATGCAATCATAAAAGTATTCATATTAGCCCTAGCTGGTTTGGCTCAGTGAATAGAGCGTCGGCCTGAAGGATCCTGGGTTTGATTCTGGTCAAGGGCACATGCTTGGGTTGTGGGCTTGATCCCTAGTTGTGGGTGTCCAGAAGGCAACCAACCAATGATTCTCTTTCATCATTGATGTTTCTATCTCTCCCTCTCTCTTCCTCTCTGAAATCAATAAAAATATATATTAAAAAATAATTTTAAAGTATCTGTATTACAGTGGAGTTAAATTTATATACTTATATAGTAGTATTAGTATATTTAAGCCCCATTCCATCCCTATCTCTACCTTTCTTTCTTTTTCTTTAACATATTTTTATTGATTTCAGTGAGGAAGGGTGAGGAAGAGAGAGATAGAAACATCAATGATGAGAACAAACCATTGATTGGCCGCCTCCCACACAGCCCCCACTGGAGATCTAGTCCACAGCCCAGGCATGTACCTTGACTGGGAATCGAATCACAAGGCAACCATGATAGCGAATGGACAAGATATCAGCCACGGTCTGAGAAAGGTGTGGTCACGAGGAGTTCACAATTCGTAGGATGAAAGTCTATTCCACTTACCAAGTTGGATGCCTAGACCACCAGATGTGCTAAAAGTGAGAGAACCTAGAATGGATTGTTGGGGGAAAAGACAATGAGGATTAGTAGTGGACTCACAACCAGCTGCAGCAGCATGGGCTTTAGCTTGTCCCACTAACCTTCCCCAATACTGTGACCTGCCCCCAGGAGCAGACTTCAGACGGGAGACTATACCAAAGGAGAGATTATAGAGCTGGGAAAGAGAAGAGTGCCATTACAGCAAAACTGGGAAATTACATTTCTATAAAACAGCCACAACATCCAGGAAAGGGTGACTAGAACCTATCAAATATTGCAATTTTCCTGGAAAAGAGACCAATCCGATCCTGCAGAAGCTGCTGCTGACATATTGTGTGAAGCGAGTGGATGTCACAGTACGAGTGTGGATGGTAATTGACATTGGGGTGCTTTGTCCAGATCCCATCTTTCACTCATTCCCTCGGATGCTGGTCGCTGATGGCTTTCAACTGCTGAGTTTCTCTCTTAAAATTGCTCTTAGCTGAAGAGAGCAACTTGCCCCAAATCACATCCCTTTTCAGAAACAGCCTACGTCCAAAAACCGGTCAGTGCAGGTGTATGAAAACCTAGCTCCCTTTTCTGACACTGGCATTTGTCAGTCTTGTGATTGCTTCTTTCTTATTTCCCTTTCCCTTGCCAGCATAATGTTAAAAAGCCAGAATATGTCATGGCTTAATTGCACAGTTTATGAATATATGTATATGTACATGTACACATACACACACACACAAACACGCATATATATGTAAAGCAGAGTAGGAAGGGAGAATTGGGCGCCTCCCAGTGGTCTCTAAATTGATCCTAGGACTTAACTTGGTTTCAATTTTTCTCATTTAAAAATGCATCCCCCTACTATCCTCAAGTAAGTCAATGCTAGAAACTACATTATGAGATTCATCTGTGAACTTCTTTAGAGAAATGAACTGGGTGACCTGTTGGGGTTTTTTCCATGTTTCATTTCTCTGAATCCAGGCATTGAAAGCTAACCAACAAAGACAGCCAGGAACGTAAGTCATCTGGGGTTGTTAAAACATGAGGTTAAGCTTTGAAAATACTGTTAAGAACTGTACTCTTTCCTCAGTTCATAGAGGAGATTTTTATGTTGTTTGCCTAGAAACACTCTGACTCCTTTACTTTGGAGGGAGCAATACACAAAATTTGTCTCTATCCTTTCCGTCTAAGGATAATGACCACTGCTTTTGACCACAGCCCTATAATAAAGTAGGAAAATAATCTGCATACATTTGGATACCTGCTTTTAAACATTCTTAGAGAGAGAATTTTTCTTTTTACGGAGTTTTGGAAAGATTCCTAAAGGATAATGATTTTTTATAATAAAATTGTTCTAAGGAAACCCTAAGTGCTGTGACTTAATGCTAGTGAATTAAACCTCAAGCATGAAAGTATTCCAAAGAAGACATTGCAGAGCTAAGAAAGAGGAGATACTGGTAAATATCTCTTCCCTAAACTGGTAAATACATTTCTATAAAACAGCACAGTATCCAGGAAAACGTGACTAGAACTACAAAGTTTCATAGAAGCACACAGGCAAGAAAAAACATTCATCTTTTTTGAAAAGATTTTTTGTGGTGTTAAGTATTAAGTAACCAAGATCCCTCATTTTAATCCAACTATCAATGTGACAAAATAACCAGGGTCAGAAATTCAAAATGGTTGTTAAAGATTAAACACCTTCAATTCTTTACTGCTTTCTGATTACATCATGTGTTGTAAATCTTCCTTATTTTAGAATTTCCTAAATTTTTTACTTCCAAGACCTTGAGTTAAAATGCTCTTGAGCCCAGCCAATGTGGCTCCAGGGTTGAGCATCGACCTATGAACCAGGAGGTCATGGTTCAATTCCTGGTCAGGGCACATGCCCAGGTTGTGGGCTCAGTCCCCAGCAGGGGGCATGCAGGAGACAGCCAACCAATGTTTCTCTCTCATCATTGATGTTTCTCCCTTCTTTTCTTTAATCAATAAAAATATACTTTTACAAATACGTAAATAAAGTGCTCTTGAAATCATATGGACCCACTCAGAATTCAGATGTTAAAAATATAATTAGAAATGGAAATCTAGGTCATAGAAGCTTTAAAGTGTTGTGTGTTTCCACCCCCCTCCCCCCAAGAAATAAACTTTCATGGCTTAGTATCTTAGAAGGGGACTCACATTAAAAGAGA